GGGGTTCACTGTAGCGTCGACGACCGGTGCCGTCATCAGCCGTGCCTCGCGTTCTCGTTCCTGGAATTCGGCACCGGCTTCGGTCGGCGATGATTGCCCCATCAGCCTGCATTTCGTATCGCGCGATGCAATCTTGCGGGTTGCACGGTGGCCGCGACGCTATTTCTCACACACAACACGTTGAAGCTACATTTTCCACCACGTGGTATGTTCAAAACACAATATGAAAAGGACAGGGAAGTGATAAATACGTGATAAAGACGTGTAAAACACATTTGACACCTGTGCAAGTGCTCACGTGGGCCCTAGAATCGCTGCATGGGATTGGCTATTGCCTGTATGGGAAATCGATTGCTCACACTTTTGTGGTCAACAGCGAGCGACATATGGCATTACACCGAGGCGTGAGAGGACTTCTGACCAACCGAGTTTAGGTGGGACCGGGTTCGACGTTCGTTGTACGAGCGGAACGAACGGCTTGTGAAAGGGTGCTTTGCACAATTGCCAAGTCCAGGGCATTTTGTGCGAGTTGGTTCGTGTGCCAAGAGCAAGACCACGGGAGCTCTCGTGGCGTGGGCAGCTGTAAACTTCAGGGAACCTTGCAATCACCAGCTCTACCATGTCGCGCATGTCCCAAATGCCAGTCAAGTGACACGCAAGACAGGCGCGGGCGCGAAAATTGCGGCGAGCGCGATGACTTGTGTTGTGCTTGGTTGCGTCCTCGAATGCGGCACTTGGTTCGTCCAGAAGTCACAATCTTCTCGGTGCTACAACCTCAAATTGCAGTTTGCAGTTTAAAACCAAACGGCAAAGTCGGGTTGAGACAGAGATGTGCCGCGATGCAGAGAAATCGATCGTACGAATGTCTTTTCCAGGATCGGCCAGAGGCGCCCACGAGTCAGCGAAGAGGTTGGCGTGCGAGGGCAGGCGAAGAATGCGGTCATGGCGCATTCCCTTTCTGGGGCGACGAAGGCCCATTGAACCGGATGCATCTTTGCTCACGACCGCAATGGTGGTGTGCGAGTGTGTGATTTTTACGCGTCACTGGACTGTCATTGTGGTGGGAAGTGGCGTGGCCAAGCCTTTGATTTGCACGAAAAGGGGTCGTGTCCGCGCCCACAACATACAAAGAGCAAGTACAACAAGGTGGGACAGCACCCCCTTTTCGTAACGACAACAAAAGCTGTTTTGAAATCGTGCTCAATTTACTCATCAGCCAAATCGTTGATGAATAGGCCGCTTTGCATCATCGCTCGCGTGCCTCAGGAGTGCAACTCATCTGCTTCAGGCGACGATGCTACTGCAGGTAGTATCTGTGGTGAGCAAGACTCATTATCGCTTTTGCTGGCTCGACCACCCATCCCGCCATGCCACCTGCGCCACAATCCGCCGATGCGTTCCTCCAGGACGGCTCGGACGCCTTCCATGCATCGCTCGCCGCGCAGCTTGAAGCGTCCATGGGCAAGGCCATGCCGCAGATGGAGATCCGCTTCCAGGATCTCGCCATTTCGGCCGACGTCGCGGTCGCTACCAAGGACGGCCACGAGCTCCCGACCTTGCTCAACCACGCTAAGAAGTCGGTCATGGGTCTCTTCAGCTCCAAGCGCACGATCCGCAAGGAGGTGCTGCACCCGATGTCGGGTGTCTTCAAGCCCAGCACGACGACGCTCCTTCTTGGCCAGCCCGGCTCGGGCAAGTCGTCGCTCATGAAGATCCTCTCGGGTCGCTTTCCCATGCACAAGAACATCACGGTGGGCGGCAACGTCAC